AAAATGAGCTTAGGCCCTTTTTGGTTGGAGGGTTTTGGAGGGGAGGGGAGGGAGGGGTTTGTGTGTTTGTTTGAAGGAAATAGGGGGGAAGTAGGGCTGGAATCGGGCCGGTTCGGGCCCGGTTCGGTCCTGGGCCCGGCCGGGCCTCGGGCCAGGAAAGGGGAGGCCCGAGCCCGAACCGCCGGTGGCCGGTTCCGGTCCCGGTTCCGGGCCAAACCGGGCCGGGCCGGGCCGGGCCGAACCGGCCCAATTAATTTTTTTTTTTTTTGTTCTCCTATTTAATCCCCTACCCCTCCCCCTCAACCCCAAACCATCCCAAACCACCTCAAATGACCCAAAATACCTAATCCAACCTAAAACTTAAAAAAATTTCAAAAAAAAAAAATTAAAATCCGGCCCGGACCGGGCCCGAACCGGCCGGGCCGGTTCACCAAAACCTGGGCCCGAGCCCGAACCGCCCAGCAGCCGGGCCGGGCCGACCCGAACCGGTGGACCCACCGGGCCCCAGGCCGGGCCGGGCCAAACAGTAACCGGGCCGGGCCGGTTCCGGGCCGGGCCGCCCGGCCCGAGTCCAGCACTAGGGGGAAGGGGAGGAAAGTGGAAGACTTCCAAAATCCTCCACTTTCTCCCATTCTAAACCCCCCAAATCGGGGTATTCAGAGGAAACGTGTTGATGGACAAAACGTTATAAGATAAAAAAAAGGTCAAAGATAAAAAGTTTTGAAAAATTAAAAAAAAAAATCAAAAAATTAAAAACTAAAAATTAAAAATTAAAAAAAGTTAAAAATTTTAAAAATGAAAAAATAAAAAATTATAAAATTACAAAAGTAAAAAAAAAAACTCAAAACAAATATTATGACTCATGACCGTAGGAGTAATGTTCACAATAGTTAGAGATGTATCTATTTTTTGAGGAGGAAAGGGTCAGTTTGGAACTCGAAGTTGCATAAAAAATGTCAAATAAGTCCTTATATAGAAGGTTATGTCCCGCTGTCGCCATTTGGGGCGACTACCGGTGGAATTTTTTGACGAATTTTTTTGAGCATCTTATTCATGAAGTCTAGTTTACTCATACCAAATTTGAGCTAAAACTTCAATCAGTAAGGCATTCAAATGAATTTTTGAAGATAACTGCGCAATTAAAAACGCAATTATTTTCAAGAATTCATTTCAATGTCTTCCTGATTGAAGTTTTAGCTGAAATTTGGTATGAGTAAACTAGACTTCATGAATAAGATGCTCAAAACATTTCATCAAAAAATTCCACCGGAAACCATCCCAAAAGGCGACGGCCAGATAGTAAGGACTTATTTGACCCTTTTTATGCAACTTCGAGTACCAAACTGACTCTTTCCTCATTTTTTGAGTAAGCTATCAAATAAATGTAAATTGAGAAAATATTTTCATTAAACCTTTCCTCCTATTTCCTCCAACCAAACACAAATTTTTATCAAAATTCTTTCTTCCCCTTCCCCTTCCCCCTTGACTCTCCTCTTCCCTCCCCTCCTTTGAACCAAACAAGGCCTAAATGTAGCATAATGCATATGATTTTTTTTTTACATTTCAGCAACCACTTAGCTACCAAACCAAAGAGGAAAATGAAATTACAGTCCCGAAAGTAGTAAACCGCTGCAAGTTACTTACAACACTTCACATGGACATTTCATCAAACACATTGCAATCAAAAGAAAACAAGGGATAAAAAGAAATAAACAAGGAACAAAAAGACGGGGATGTGAAGAAGTACAAATGCAAAACACAGGGCAGTTAAAATCCAACAAAGAATGCGGAAACAAAGGAACACCGAAACTGGACAAACTGGCCTGCTAATTTTACATCATCTACTTGCACTGAGCTATTACCTTTTCACGTCACAACATATGACAAACTGGACAAACTGGCCTGCTAGTACCCTAAGTAGGAATACGATCAATCTCCTTACAAAGATGAACCACCTTAAAGAAATCAAACTTTAATCAGTCTGGCACATATCAAAACCTACAGAGGTTTCACAATAAGGCAACCCACCCTTTCTGCTGGGATTTTTTTAGGAAATGAAGGGTAGCAAACTTATAACAAACCAACCTGTGTAACTTGATCACTTTTCTTAACGATACCAATTGTGTTGCACAAATTTTGAATTGATAACAATGGAATTTGGAGTGCGGGGGGGGGGGGGGGGGATTCAACATACTTGGTCATATCAGCAAAATAAGGGAAAATGTGTATAATTTCAATTTTCTATGAAACTCCAAAAGGGTTGAACTGGTTTAGAACATGTCAGATTATCTTAGGTGTAAAAAGACAATTCAAGTTACAAAAACCAGTCCAACATGGTTCGAATCTCAACATACTAATGACTCTATTTTACAAATGTTATGCTCTGCTTTGAACTACTGATCACACAGTATATTGATCATGCTACGGTTGGATATTTGCCAATGGTTTGAACATCACTGAATGAAAAACCTGCACACTGAAAAGCATGCAAAAACATGTTTTTTCCTATGATGACTAATTTTTGTTCTGTTCATAGGATACTTACTCATATGGACATAATACAAACATTTGTGTTCTCTAACATTTTACAGAATCTAGACTTTGATGAAATTCCTATATGAATCAACTATTCAAAATCTCCTTCAAACTTCACTGCCATTTGAATGAGACCTGAAACTAAACGGCCATTTTATAGCAAAGAAAATTTTATAGCAGAGAAAATTTATTTTACAAAACTAGTTTTGGAAACTACCATAATTGATTATCATCGGCTATATCCACAAGTTATTTTGATATTAGATTCAGATTGTTTAAAGTTATGTGCAGTCTGGTGATGTAGTTTCAAATAATGGTGTGCTTTTTAATAATTAAAATAAGGAAATATAAAGTGATAAACACAAGCATACATGTGCATTTAAATGAAATCAAAGTGGAAGTCGTGCTTGAATTGTAATAAGGTGGGGAGCAAGGTAGTCAAAGTCGAAAGGCGCACCTGAAGCGCTAGGGGCCTTCCAGCGTTTAAGGCGCAAGGCGCAAAAAGGCACAAGACGCAAAAAGGTGCTCGCCTGACTCGGGTGAAGCGCATTACTTAGATAAAATCACATATACAATTCTATTATTACCAAATATGATGTATGTAACATCATATTGAACCAAATGCATAAAAAAGCTAGGATTCACCAAAATAAAGTCATGATTCACAAAAATAAAACTTCAAATTAAGAACTCATGGCTTTAATACGTCATTTTTTGTAGAGTTTTTAATTTCAGTACCACCTGCAGCACATGTTCCACCTTCCATATCCTGGAAAAGCAAAAAGCTTGAATTATTTAATACACTGGAAAACATCTTTGGAAAACCACAAAGTAGAGTACATATATAATATATTTATAGGCCAAACACTCAAATATGGCTGCTCAATAATGGAAAAACACAAAGCTGGTTGTGTGTTTATCATGTTCTTTTAGTTTTCCATCTGCATTTGTCATCTTATGTGTTGTAAAAGGTGGATATCATTATATCAACTTCGAAAAACATGTTATACTCATCCCTTTGTTAACAGCCATGTTTTACTCTAGTTGGGTCTACCAGAGTAATATCTTTAATCTTTATAAAACACAAGTGACAGAACTGAGTAATATATTTAAAGTTAAGACAACACACTTAAAGTAATCTTTATAAAACACAAGAGTTATACTCTGAAAGATTACAGAGAAATATCTTTAGTAAACCACAAAGCAGAGTACATATATTTAAGTACTATGAGTATTATATACATACTAATATACTAATACGTAGTATTATTGCTTCATTACACATTTACGCTAATATTTAGACACCAGTGTAATATGAATATGTGCATGAAAAAGAAGACATATCTTGTTTAGTGCTGCGAGGGAGAGCTGAGTTTGCTTGAGATGATGATGAAAGCTTAAAGAACTGGCTGGTTTAGAGCAGCTTCAGTGTCGAGTGAGGAGAATGAAGAGCGAGGATGGCTAGCAATGATAGCAGTAGTGTCTTGCTCAAGTTTTACGTGTTTACACACTTAGACTTAGTTTTACCGTAGGTTTTACTGTTTTTACCCAAATATTTTCATGGGCTTAGTGTTAATTAAAGATATGGGCTAATTGTATTTGAAAGTTTTAAACAAAAAAAAGGCTAGCAGCCTTTTCCGGCTCAGGCGACCCAAGCGTGCACTTATAGCGCTTCAGTGCTTGATGCGCACCTGCGCCTATACTGCGCCTTACCCGGGAACGTGCGCTTCACATATTTCCAGGCGTTGGGGGGTTTGCTCGCTGCACCTCGTGCGCTTAAGCGCTGGGGCGAGCGCTTTTGATAACCTTGAACGGGAGTCTGTTTTTTATAGATAAGAATTCTGGTAGTTGCAATAATGTGCACTAAAATGATGTAGTAGTGATTAAGATATGATAAATTGTGATAACTATAATGGGAAATATAAATTGAAATTTAGCAGCGTAAATGTGGTTGTTTGCATTTGTACAACACAATAGTGCAAAAGTGAATTGTACGGATGCATATAAGTGAGCAAAATATGCAAAATTAAGACGTAGAATATGTAAAACTTATGGAAACTATGAATGTGCAAAATTACTTTTACACTTGTAGAAAGTGTAATAGTAAGTGTGATGCTCATTTGAATGACATAATAGTGCAAGTAGTGTTAGATTGTGCATAAGGTGTGTTGTTAGCTTATTAGATAATGAATCTGATAGTTTACAATAATTTGCAACGGAATGATGTAGTAGTGATTAAGAAATTATGAATTGTGATAATTACATTTAAGAAATATAAATTGATGTAGTAGTGATTAATAAATAGAAAACTAATACGAAGAAAAAAAATAAGAGTTAGAGATATTTTCCTTCCTTTTATTTCCTACGATCTAACACTATTTACTTCCCAAGAATGTGTAAATTTATGTAAATGGGGAAGATAACTAAAGTGAAAAATAAACTACAATATGGAACCTACTCGTTCCTTTACTAAATTGGAATGTTTGTATTAATTGCAAATGGCAGTTACAAAAAACTAACGAAAAGAATGTTACAAAGATGCCCTCTTCTACTCATTCGTTCATCTCAACATTGGGTGTATTTTGAATGGTTCAGATTTGTTCTCAATTCTTAAATTAAGACTTGTTCTTATTTGAACCAATACACACACATATATATAAACGTTGACCGGGTTGACCCTTGATCCGGTCCCTTACCCGTGTCACCTCTTGGTCCAGTTTTGACAACATAGGTAATAATTACGAGAGCAAACCAAACAATTAAAATTTTAAAATTTAAACTGAATAAGTTAGAAGGGAAAAATGGTAAGAGCACATTATCCTAAATGACGATCACTTGCGCTGTTGGAGAAGCAGCCTGCCCTCTCAATCGCTGACGGATTGCTTGTGATTTGGTGTGATCAAACGTGACAGTATACGGTGGATTTTCTGACCAAGTAGGCCCTATGTAATCTTTTCTCTCCTCCCACCTTCCATTTGCACCAGTATACCACCTATAATCCCTGCTTAACACCATCCTCTCAAGAAACCAAGCCCTTTTAAGGATATACAATACCAAAGCAAACTCATTCTCCAAACCAAGGAACCCACCAAATTCTACTTCTTTAAGATGAAGATGAAGATTATTATTACTGAGAGGTACACTCCTCTTAATAAAAGAATGGACTACTTTTCTCCCCCTTCCCTGCAAACATGGAAACTTGTCATCATTATCCAGCAGTGTTTGTTTGCTGGAGAACTAAAAACAAACTGATGGTTTCCTAGTAAACCAACGAGATGTTCTCTTGCATGTATGTATAAATATATTATAACAGTGTTCAACCCACAAAACAAAAGAAAACAAAAGGAAACAAAAGGATTGCATGTTTCATGAAAAATGATTCCCGCTTTTTCAAAAGATGCAAGTCCTTTTCCAGAAAGTTGTATTCGTGTGCCAAACACAGGAAAATACAGAATGCCTTTTCCTATATTCCTGGAAACAAACACTGAAATACCCAAGGTTTGGACACAGCTTAACGTTAGCAAATGCACTCTTCTGCATAGGTTTTTGCTTAGAGAGAGGGGAGAGAAGTTTTGTTCTGTCAAAATGGATCCAGCTTATTTTAATAATACCAGTATCAAATATAAAGTTCCCAATAAAGGTGAATCAAATAATTTTACCCAGGATCACCTCAATCCAAGCAAACCATTAATTAATTAATAAAGAACACCCACTCCTCCTAATTAACTAAGGAAGGGGACTCACCACTAAATGCAATCTCTGAAGCAGTGGACAGCCAGTCATTAAAGCAGCAACTTGGGTCACATCAAACAACTCATTGAACTCCATTAGTATGTAAAGCTGCCTCATACGACCAAATGTGGGCACCTCGCGTGGCAAACTATATGAGCAAGTGTGGTCTCCCAACCAGAAATCAAGATAAAGAGATTCAACCTGAGGACAATCCTTTCCTACCCAGCTAATGATGTGCCTTATATCAATGGGGCGAATTACCGACATGCTGAAATGCTGGAGCTTGGGGACATTGGTAGGGTGAGAAAACATTGCTGAATCTGTCTGAAATTCAACTTCCAAGATTACAAGGTTTTCAGCACAAAGAGATATCTCCTCGACCCCCCCATAACACCCATTAATGGTTAATGATTTCAACCTCAGTTGTTTCCCTCCACCAATGAACACCTTAGAAGGAAGACGGCAATACTCCAACGTTAGAGACTCAAGTTCCGGACATGATGACAATATGCCCTGCACATCAACTGATTCGATATAACCCAATCTTAGGGATGTTAGAGACTTGAAAGGCCGTTGGGGATTGAAGGGTTCCAGGACGCATGCGACCAAATGCAGAGATTTGAGCATCGGTGCTGCTGCTGCTTTGCATAAAAGCTTCTGAAGCGGAAATGTGATTTGTTCTGTATTCTGTTGACAACACAGCCTGAATGCAAGCTCTTCCACACCCCATCCAGCAATATGACGCACCCAACGGTCAATGTGACACATGAAATCTCTCTTCACACACAATGACAGGCTGAAAGATTTAATCTTTTCACAGCCAGCTCCTCTAGGGATTCTAAAAAACCGATCCAAGACAGTCAGAAATTTCTTCTTGTTCTCAGCTGTACAACTACACTGGCCAAAGAAAGGAATCTCGAACGAGCATCGGCAGCTAAAAGAATAATAAGGCAGAAAAAGATAGAGGGTACTCCATCTGCGACACAATATGCTAGTCCTAACCACATCTTTTGTATCCATACGTGAGAGGATGGAGCACAATATATCATTTGGCATTGCACTTATTAGGTCCTCCCCTGTGTAGCCATCATCATCCTTCATCTCCTAATTGAATTGCAAACCATAATTACTTGATTTACATAAATCATTACCGCAAAGGAAAAACACTCAGGTAAGGTGATTGGAACTTGACCATCCACAAGTTTGCCCTTTCATATAACATAAGAACCACCTTTCACCAAAAGAAATCCTTTTCCATTCAAATTAACTATATTTTTTCGTTGAAATAAAATTGATTGTTACAACAGAACAAAAGAATGTGTCCCAACTAAGTTAGGCATACTATATTTAGTTTAGTAAACAAATAATTTCAAAATATAAGCAGGACGCATGCTGCAAAAGGGTTGTAACTTTGCATAAACTTTAAAGAAACATGACCCTTTTTTTATTTTTGTTTGCTTGTTTTAAGATGGAGCCTATCAGCCTATGAAATCTTCACAAACAAAAGTTGCAATTGTAATATGCTTATGATTTTGAACAATCAAAAACCGACCCAAAACATGAAATATGGTTGCAGAACACATAAATTAATGGGAAAAAACAAAATAGTATCAATGACCAAAGCTAAAAATACCATCTTTTTCAGGCGTAAATGTGAAGAGATTACAGTTCCGATTCCAAGCCCCAATCCTGCGAGGATCATTAAAGGCAAAACCATCCGATGCTGCGGGAGCCATAACCCTGAAGAAGCCAACCGAAACAAAACGAAATCAATCACCCCCCGCCGTCCCGTCGATTACTTTTTCAAACTCCGCCCACACCTTATATGAATAAATACATCAAATTCTTACCAAAATTATCGCCATAACTCGTTGCCATGATTCAATTTTAGTTCTTCTTACTCGTGGGATAGATGGATAAAGTTATCATCTAAACTAAATATAAGTTTTTTTTACAGTAACTAAATACTCAGTATAAGTTAGGAGTTCTAAATAAATACTTCGTAAGTTAGGAGTTGTCCAATCTCCCTCAATCGTACCTGGGCCTATCAATGGCTAGGGTAGGACCTAGGCATGTCAAAAAAACTCGGTTCATAATGACCCGCCCTGGCCCGAGGTATTTGGGGTGGGTCTGGCCCGACCCATCTTGCAAATGGGCGAGTCCGCTCTGTTTGCTCATACAATGGGGCAGATCTAGGTATGAGTATTGACTTGTGTCGTCCCGTCCCGCTAAATATATAAGTATGCATACTTTAAAAAATAATATATTACAAATATACTTCTACATGCATATGTGTTTATTATAAATCATTAATTTTTTGGGTCTCATAATATATTACTCCGTAATATTTATATTTGAATGAGTTGAACGACGAATTATCAATGTCTTTTTTTATATAGCATTTTATTCATATATATTCAATTATATATATGTATATGTACGTATATATACATATATATATATATGTATATTTGGGAAACAAATATTTATTGAGATAAAATATGAGTACAATGCAAAAAAGGAAAAAAAAAATTAAAAGTACATGAAAGAAAAAAAAGTACTATGTCAAAGGAAAAGCAGTACGAAAAGAGAAAAGAGCTAATCCCATGGAAAATCTTTGGATTGGGACCTGGTTCTCATGTTGTGACGCCTTTTGTTTTTTGAGAATTCCTGTAGAGTTTTAGTTGTGTGTTGAAGTTGTCGGCCGACAAGTAGTTTTCTAGAGGTTATGAACTTAATTAGCTTTGTGGCAGATCGCTGTATTGAATTTTGATTTCCTATTTCCTCAGGGTATGAAAAAGGAGGACGACGATCGCTCTCGGTTGTGTGTCCCAAGAAGTGATATGTAAAGAGTGAGTCATTTGAATGATCAAAATCGTCAGATGCATCTGAGTAAGCTTGGCTCAATGGCAGCTGGGGTTGTTTCCCAACATAGAAGACATGGTTAATTTCTGCTTCTGCCGATATTTTTTATCCCAGAAGGTAAACCACCAAAGTCAGTGGGGTAAACGTTTGGGAACGTTTACCAGTGTTTTGTTAGAACTAAAAGTGAATACAAAAGAGAGAGGACCAAGCCAAAGCCTCTCCGTAGAGGCATACCTCTACAAATACATGAATCAACAGTCAACAGGAATAAAAAAGAAAAGAAATTTTTTGGGGGGTTTAAACCTGACCCAAAATTAAACATCCATGAATTAAGAACGTGGCTTGGATGGTTTGATATGAGTCACTTGGAGCTGATAATTAAAAATCAGTTTAGATAAAGACGTGGGGTCCTCTGTGTGAAGTACACTCCCACGTTGAAGAGATATTGAGTCGTCGTGCATGGACTTTGAGAGCCCTACAAAATTAGAAAATATATTAAGGAATTTAACTAGGCTGGAGTTATTGGGTCCCATGGGTATCTGGATGAAACCCCCTTGTATTTCTCCATTTTTACAAAGCAACTTGATTTGTTAATTTACGCGGAAATCGTGAGACCTCCAAATCTCTTATTTTTCTCAAAAAAAAATCGGGTAGTATTTGTGAGCTGAGAGATGAATCGGATGACGTGTGGCACAAGAACAAGGTTGAGGTGAATTTTATGCAGAAAAGATCTTTTAATTGGAAAGAGGACCAAGTCAACCCCTATTCTTCACAGAATGAGTATTTTTCGCTAACAGATAAAATAGGATCGATAGCTTTCTCATTTACTTCCGTCATGGCCCGCTGCTCACTGCCTATTTTTTTTTATAATTCGTTTGTACTTGCTCGGTCATAAGGTTGGAAGGATCCAGTCTGGCCTGAGCGAAGACTTAATCAATAGAAGAAAGAGAGATGCTTGATGTACATGTTTTTTGTACACATTTTGTATACACACCCATAATTGTCTGTTCAATGAAGCTTCTTAAGGAATTGCCTAAATGGACAGACAACAAGGCGTACGCAAAACGTGTACAAACAAGTTTTTCTTTTCTTTTAAGGGAAAATTGTTAAATAGGTCATTAAGAAAAAATCAATTGAGTCCTTGTACTTTAAAATGAATCAATTAGGTCCTCGAAGTATTAAAAAATAGTCAAATGAGCCATTTTACAAGTGAGCAACCGGTAGCAGGTTACTTGCATGTGTGGAAATTTAATTTACTTTGTTTTTACTACTCTTTAAATTTTAGTTTTCCTTTTCTTTTCATTTTTCTCTTTCTTTTCTTTCTCCCTTTCTTTCTTTCTTCAATTTGTTTTTTTTACTCTTTCTTCGGCTCCTCTCCATTGCACACTGTTTGCGGTACTCCCCAGATGGCCAGATCACCTCTACGGCTATACATACCAGAGTACAACAGCAACACAACACCATAGCTCTGCCGGAGGAGATGCCGCCACTCTCCGACAAGCCCAATTGACAATTTCTACAATCTCTCCTCTCCTCCTCTTCCTTGCGCAGTTTCAACCCTAACTCCAACCCCGTCACTGAGAGGAACTTTCTCGTGTCGTATCGATGTCGTCCGCCGCCGAACACCGGCATCCCTCATATGACCCATCGATGACGGAGGCCAACGACTGACCTCAGTGCGAATTAGTGAAGCCGAAGCTCCGATCCCTTTAGGCCAGGGCCGGCCCTGGACAAGGGCAGGTCGAGCTTGTGCCCCGGGCCCAACATTTACAGGGCCCATAATTATATATAAATGGATAAATATAGAGAGGACAATTCATATCAGACCGATGTCATTTGGGGCCCTTTATGGAGGAATTTTTTTATGAAACTTTTTTAGAGTATTTTTCATCAAGTGTAAATTACATTCACAAAATTTTAGTTTAAAAATCAACCGGAAAGTCAGTTAAATAAAATATTGAAACACACTGCGCTTTGTGTATATAAATAATGCGCACTATATTTCAATAATTTATTTAACTGACTTTCAGGTTGAGTTTTAATCTGAAACTTTGTGGAGATATTATAGATTTTATGAAGAATATATTTAAAAAAATTCATGAAAAAATTCTATCGGGAAGGGCCTCAAATGGCCCCGGTCTGACATCATTTCCCGTTAGGCAGGCCTAATTTCAAGGTTTCATCTTTGGACTTTAATTCGTTTTGCTCATTAATCAACACTCTCCTAATTTTCTCAAAAATATCTTCCAAATTTGAAATTTCAATTTCACAAGTAATTCTCTGGTTTTATTTTTTATTTTTTAATATAATTTTTATTCGTTTAGTTTATATATTAAGACTTTGATGAAAGACTTATATTACTTTGTATGTTGAAATTTGCGTATATAAAGTTAAGCTTTTGCAATATATTTATATAACCTTTTAAGGGCCTTCTTTTTTCATATCGCCCCGGGCCCATAATATATCAAGGACCGGCCCTGCGTTCACGCACCACCTCCACGGTATCTACCGCCGCTGCCCTGCTCCATAGCCACCACGAATTGGACTCAATTTTTTTTTGAATCAAATTGGACTCAAAATTCGTATCCATTAATGGAGGAATCGAGAGAGAAGCTCTACAATGATGATAACCACCGCTTCCCAGCCCCTTCTAAGCTTAGTGGAGACCTGCAACGAGGGAAAGGAGCTTAGGAGCTGAATGACGAGAGAAAGAAGAAGAAAAAAGGAGAAAAAGGAAAGAGAAAATAAAAAGAAAAACTCAAATAGATAGCATACCGTTACAACTTATACCGTACAACTGACTGTACGGTGAGCACCGTGGTAGTTGCTCCCTGCTTTTCTTCCGTTTTCCATTGTTTCCGTCAGTTTTTTTCCGCCGTTTTCAGACCCCAGGTCTCTCCGTTGTTTGCTTTGTGCCGCCGCCCCACTCCTATTTTTTGTTTTACTTACTTTTTCTATTTTCTTTTTCTTTTGTTTTGTTATATACATTTCGTGCTTGCTTTTAGCTTTTAGTTGTTGGTTTCTTTCTGTCGTTTTCTGTACTTTTTTATTCAAAAACCATTGTTTTGATTTCTTGTTCAATTATCATGTAAATGTATAGTATAAACAATCCGATGTTCGAGTTTTTTTTTTTCTTTTTTCAATTAACATTCTAACTCAAGTCTTTTTAGTTTTTGCGTTATAAAATATTTTAACTATTAATGTTTTATTTTTCTATTTCTTATTTTAAGATTGATGGAGTATATGGCCCAGCACCCCCCGGCCCATAGACTCCTACTTCTCCTACACAAGTCCGTTGAGCCCAGAGAACAACTCAGGCCCAAATGCAGCGGCCCAAGCCTCAAAGTAGCTCAGAATGCACACTGGGATGCCTTCGGCCACCTTGGCCGAGGGCTCCAAAACTCACAGGATAGCCTTCTCTGGCATAAGAAGCTGCTGGGAGAAAACAGGCGAAGACATGAGCCTTCGGCATTCCCATGCCCTCGGCACCAGGGGAAGCCTTCGGCTGAACCAAGCCTTCGGCTACACAAGGAGCCCTCGGCTGCACAAGGGGCCCTCGGCTGCACAAGGAGCCCTCGGCTACACAGAGAGCCTTCGGCTGAACAGGCTCAATCATCGAAGATTCCTTTTAGAGACAGCCAACCACCGCATTTAATGCCATGTCACATCCGCCAACCGCATTCAATGCGGTTGACGTACCACTGCCGGTGCCACCAGGCTGATGTGACCCTTCGGCCGTTGGATTGCTGACACGTGTACTCTCATCGCATTTATTGCTGCTATAAATAGCAGCCCATTTCTCCTTGTAATAAACACAATCTACATCTCAACTCCACACGCTGAGTTCATTTAATAAAATCGACTCTCTCTCCTCCTATTTACTCTGACTTCTCTCTAGTTATTCCCGCAATAACCCCTCGGATAGGATACCCCCCGGGTAGACAATCCATCATTTGGTGCTCTCGTTGAGAGGTTGAACACAATCAAGTGAGAAAACCTCCCCAAATTACCCAAAAATCCACCCAAATCACAGAAAATCAGTCAAAAAGCAATCTGAAAATTCAACAAAAGATTCGGTGTTCTGGCAAGGGAGATCTGAGATTTGCCGGACCTGGCCGGAGCAACTGTCACCGCGCCGCCGTGTCTCAGGGTGGGTCACTCCCCTTCTGGGCTAGCACCACCGCTCCACCCGC